CTGGGTGACAGAGCAAGACCCTGTTTCCAAAAAAAAAAAAAAAAAAAATTAGTAAATTGCAATTTAAGATTTGGGAATTGGCCTGGCGTGGTGGCTCATGCCTGTAATCCCAGCACTTTGGGAGGCTGAGGCGGGTGGATCATCTGAGGTTAGGAGTTTGAGATCAGCCTAGGCAACATGGTGAAAACTTATCTCTACTAAAAATTTAAAAAAAAAAAAAAATCAGCTGGGCGTGGTGGCAAGCACCTGTAATCCCAGCTACTTGGGAGGCTGAGACAGTAGAATCACTTGAACCCGGGAGGCAGAAATTGCAGTGAGCCGAGATTATGCCACCACACTCCAGCCTGGGCAACAAGAGCCAAACAAAAAAAAAAAAAAATTACCATTTCTACATTATTTTCCAATTTTGACATTAACTTTGATTTACATATTTTGAGGAGTAGATCCTCTACGCTAACAGCACAATATTCAGAAGAGGAAAGAAAAAAAGGCTTCATGCCATGACTTCTGTTCCCGTTAGATCAAGTTTACTTTGCAGGTCATAATTTAATTGAGCAACTTTAGTCTCTGTTGGTAATTCCCACTACACTCTTCAAATTTAATTTTTACCATCTGACTTCAAACTCCACAAAGCTGATATAGATGATGGTATTATTAAAATTCTGTTAAAGCACAGTTAGCATATGCAAATGTTAACCAGCATTTGTAAACCACTTCTGATTGTTTTTTATTACTCTCAAAACAGAATATGAGAGCTACAAAAAGACAGTTAAATATACAGCCTTCAATTTGAAGACCACAGAATGAGACAGTGGACAAAAGTCTCCTAAAGCTAGACAGACAAGGGGCAGTTTGTTCAACCTGAAAGATTCTCCTCCATCCCTCTCACAATTTCTAAGGTTAGAACTGAAGGACACAGAACTTCACAGAACTTGCAAAATCTCCTGGCCTCCAAAGCACTGCTGTGAGAAATATGATGTAGCCATTAAGGACAAAGACTTATGGCAATTTGCTAAGTAATATTTCAAAAGATTCATTCAAACTGGTTTGTCAATGGGAAAGAGCATTTTAATAAATCTGAAGATTTACAAGTGAACTTTGAAGTTTAACATTACAAGGATAGAAATTATGTCAGGTTATACCAGAACAAACGAATTATAGGGAGATGGGAGTAAATTTTAAGAGCCTTAGGGAGGATTAGTACTGTAAAAAGAAACTCAAGACTATCTTACTTTTAAGTTCCCCTCAAAAGACTTTTAGGCAAAGACTATCATGTGTTGGTCGGTATTGAGCAATTACCAATATTAGTAAACACCTTGTAATGGTCATTAATTTTTTAAAAATAATTTTAAAAGTTCTTTAAGAGCCCTCACTCACTTTTAAGATCCTAGATGTACATAGCTGATACAGCACAAATTATTTTGCCAATAATCTGCTCCTCTAGCAATGAAATACTAGTATAGAATGTGACACTTTTCTTTGATCTAAATCCTAAAACGGTATAATTATTTTGATGGGAAATTATGATACCCAGATACTGCCAAGAAAATGAAAATAATACCAGGACAGACTACAAGAGATCAAACTTTGGAAGACCACAAACTCTTTTATGAGAATCTACAACATAGTAAGAGACTGTAAGGGAAAATAAATTGTATTTCAAAAGTGAATCCCTGCTACAAAAAGAAAATGCACTTTATTCACATTGATAAAAACCTGCCAGAGCTTTAAAGTTGCTGAAGATACTGCTGAGAAAAGCTAAACTGAACTGCAGATTACCTCAAAGCACATTGTTTTCATGTGTTGTGTAGGTTATCATTAGAGTTTGCAGACAAGCTCTTTTAAGATGTTATAGTCACTGCTCCATCTAAAACATACACATTAAGCAGGTCATCAGGAGCAAAGGAAAACCTTCAACAATTTTGCAAGCTGATGGTACCACTGAAAGAACAGAGATGTAGAAAAGGCAGGTAAGTTTTAACTTAAACAGTCCAGGTTTGAGTTTAGAAGAGACGGCTTGGCAGAAATAATCAACCAGCCTATAGAATTCAATGGGTCAGGGCTAGAGTCACATTCGATGCCACTTGCCAGTCAGAGGTTCAAATATATGTCTATATATTCCCTCCAGGGACTACTGCTGAGCAACTATTAAGTACAAGCTACAGTGAGGCACTGCAGTGGATACACAAATAAGGAAAACAAAAACAGTTCTTGTGCTCCAGAAGCTTACAATCCAGTAGAAGCGATGAAACAAACATATTCTGAGTGAAAATACATTTGAGACCCCTGGTAGGGTGCGATGGCTCATGCCCGTAATACTAGCACTTTGGGAGGCCGAGGCGGGTAGATCACCCGAGGTCAGGAGTTCGAGACCAGTCTGACCAACATGGCAAAATCCTGTCTCTACTAAAAATATAAAATTAGCCAGGTGAGGTGGTACATGCCTATAATCCCAGCTACTTGGGAGGCTGAGGCAGGAAAATCGCTTGAACCTGGGAGGCAGAGGTTGCAGTGAGCCAAGATCGCACCACTGCACTCCAGCAACCTGGGCAACAAGAGCAAAACCCCATCTAAAAAAAAAAAGGAAGAAGAAGAAAATACGTTTGAGACCCCTAAGAGAGGTAGGAGAAAATGTGGAGTTGCAACCCTATTTTGTTTAAAAACACATATAGGAACAACAGTATTCTAAAACTGGTGATGCTCCTGAAAGGAGAGTTAAAATACCAGCAGATTAGTAACATTTCACAAATGAAGAAGGATGCCAAAAATCTCAAATAAGAAAAAAAAAAAAAAAGATCAGTTCTTTGGCACAAAACCTGCTCCTCAATGCTCCACTGAACACTACAAGTCCTTAAAGCTGAACTTAAAAATGTGACAGCTGTTGATTGGTTACAGGAATCCACAGGAAAAAAAAATGCACCCCTTGGGTGCATGACATGCATCTTATCTGTAGAACATGGCATGTTCTACAGTGAGAGGAGGTAAAAGAAAAGAAAATGTGTATGATAGCATTCTGAAAAGTATGACACTGAGCTAGACAAATGCAAGACCCACTACCTGTTTTAAAGCAGAGTTCTGGTGCAGCACCCATCCCTCCCAAATTTAATTGTTCACGCACTGAACAAGTCAACCATAAACTATCAATACTTTTCTGTCTTAAAGGCATTTCACCACCAAAAGAGAATGTAAATTGACTCAATTCTGAAAAGAAAGGCAATCTGAAAAACACTTTTTTGGTGAAAATTATATTTAAATATTAAAGAGCACCCAACTAGACCCCACAAAATCCTAACCAGCTGAAAGTTATGTGCAATTCTACGCCTTTATATGTTAATATGAAAACTCTGATATACCAAGCCTCTCCTTCCTAACACCTCTACATATAGTTTTTTCTTTGCTATTATAACTGAATAGGAATGTTTAACTACACCAATAAGCCTGACTATAATGCTAGTAGAAAAAAAAAAAAGAAAACCAAACGGGTAAGCAAACACTCAAAAAAAACAAAGGACTGGAGGAATAGGATGACAGGATGGATACCTAATAAAACATAAATGTCCCCATTCATCTGCAATTCTAGTCATTTTCTCTCTAACAGATCTCAGATTTTCAGAACAAGTATGCAGGTTATTTAAAACTGAGTTATATATAGTCATTTAGCAGCAGTAAAAACACTTCTGGCATTATCACAGATGCTAGATCTCTGGAGGAATTTTTTCCCCCCAAACTAGCATTTTTCTTCACCAACAACCATCCTTTATTTCTAAAAACAAGAACCCTTTCCTGCCCCCTAAAACAAACAAATCACAGACCACAGTTAAATTCTACGCTAATGAAACTGTGAGATTACATCCCAGGCGTTGTCAGAGCCTATTTTTCATACACCACCACAAGACAGTTTGATGCAGTATTCCTGATTGCTTTTTATAGTATTTGTAAATACACTCACTAATCCACTAAATTAGGTAATTTACAAACAGGTCCTCTCAGTTATTAGTGGCCAGTAGTCAAGTTCTATTACATTTGATCCTCATACAGTTGTCTAAACACATCCACCCAGGTTAAGGGCTCCGATCCGAGAGAAGGAGGTTGGCGAAATTTGGATGGGGGCAGGGTAGAAGCTGGGAGAAATCTCTGCATCTCAGCCCTCAGCGACAACATTCAGCCAGTGCCCACAGAAAAACTAAATTCGGAACCTCTTCCTCCTGTAACACTGGCAACAAAGAGGGAGTTTCCGTAACGCTCCCGTCACCCACCAGGTGCCCAATCTCCTTCCCAGCCCAGAATCCGCGCTCCCGCAGGGGCCTCCGAGTGCTGGGAGGCCGCGGGGCCCGGGTCACGGCACCAAGGGGGGATGGGGTGCAAGCGAGCAAGCGAGGTCTGCGGAGCCGGCCTTGGAAAGGCTCCGGGACCCGCTAAAACATCTGAACCCAGCCGGCGGGCAGCAGGCAAGAGAAAAGGGACAGAATATCTAATGAAGCAGAAACCGGAATTCGGTGGAAGAGGTGAAGAGCCCTTGCTGGGGGTACACCTGCGAGGAGCACAGAAAACAGGCGACGGATGGCGGGTAGACTCCACGGAGGTGGAAGAGAGGAGCCAGGCCCGGAAGAACAGGGAAGGGGATGCCACCTGGGGCAGAGGAGGCGCCAGTGCAGCCTCTACCTGCCGGCTGGCGGGACGGGCCGCTCAGGTGTGACTGGGAGGAGGGGGCCGAGTGGGGAAGGGGCCGGGAAGAGCTGAGGGCGCACCAGGGGACGAGCAGAGGCGCCTGCGAGTCGGCAGCCGCGGAGCAGCGCGCGGGCATCGGCGGGACCGGGGAACCAGCGCGCGGGCATCGGCGGGACCCGGGAGAGGGAAAGGCGGCGTGGGGGTCTTTGGACTGCACGGTGCGCTCAAGGGAGGCTGGGGACAGCGAGAGGTATCGGACGGCGGGCGCCCGCCGAGCGACGCGGCGCACGGGAGGCATCCGGGCGGGCGGCCGGGAGGCGGGAGCCCCTCACCTGCGCGGCGGAGGAGGCGGAGCTGCAGCAGCCCATGGCGGGGCCGAAGGAGCCCGGAGGCGGCGCCGGGCGCGCAGCTACGCCCCGGAGCCCCTCGGCATGCGAGCCGGCGGGCGCCCGGGGAGGGCGCGGCCTGGCCCCGCACGGCTAGGCGGCGGCGGTGGCTGCAGCGGCGGCTGGTACTCAAGAGGCGGCGCGGCTAGGGGCAGACACCGGCCACATCCCCCGGCGGCGGCGGCTGCGCGGCTCCTGCTCTGCTCCTGCTGCAGCAGCTGCTCCCCAGCGGAAAGGGGCGGGCGGCGGCGGCGGCGGCGCCTCCCTCTGTTCCCCGCCTCCCGCCTCCCGCGCCCAGTCCCTCTCCCGCTCCCTCTCCCGGGCCGCCGCCTCCTCAGCGCCGCGCGCGTCTCCCATCAGACTCCCCGCCCCCAGTGCAGCGCCGAACGGGCGGCAGGGCGGCGGCAGCCAGAACGAGGCCGGGCCCTTCCGCGCGTGTCAGAGACTGCGCGGCGCCGGGCTTATTTAGCGGTGGCACCGAGGCAGCTCTCTGCCTCGAGGCTAGAGGGCAAAGCGGGCTGAGGCAGACGAAGACCGGGCCAACTCGCTGCCGAAAAGGGGCCTGATTGCTTCCGGACCCGGGACGCAAGCGGGACTGCTCCCTCTCCCTACTGGGCGCACAACTCAGGATCCTGATGGCTTCTTACCGCTCTGTCGGCTCTTCTTCAGAGGAAAGCGTACATAAGAAACCTTTCCTGGAGAAAGAGTAGGTGATAAGAAAGAAGTATCTGTTGCTACTGTCCCCATTTTGCTGATGTGGAAACTGAGCCTTGAAAGGGACCAAGAACCTAATGAAATGTCCCCAAGGTTGAAATGGTAATAAATAGCCAGAAATGAGGAAAAGGCAAAAAGTTACCCAGGCTTGCAAGTCAAAGCCATACTGGATCTAAGCTAAACTTTCCTATACAGGATAGTCTACAAAAAACTAAAAGGGGACATTAATTTATTCATATTAAAAATACTTACCGATGACACACTAAGTTCCAGTAACTGGTACTGGCAATAAAGAGACGAACAAAAGAGACTTACCAAGTTACTGTTGCTAAATCAGTAAGCCTAAGGGAAGCAGCAACAAGTTAGAGTAGACGTGGTCGCTACCTTCAAGAAATTTACAGTTCCAAAAGAATCGTTAGGAAATACAGTGTGAGGTGAAAACAGTTAAAAAGTGAAAAATAAAACTAAAGGTAATGACTAATGTTAAAAAACACATTTATCAGGCACTGTTATAGCCTTCATATCTCATTTCATCTTGTCACAGAATGTCTCAAAAGACAGACACAGGAAAAAAAAAAAGAAAAACTTTATTTGCAAAGACGCAAGGGAGTGAGACTTCCAAAAGCACTGATTCACCAAATATGAGACATCACGTTTTAAAGATTACTTCAAGTGTAGAGGGAAGAAAAGAACACAGAATTAAATTGACTTTACATGCATTGAAAGGGAATCTAAGCCAAGGAAAATTGGAATGGGAGCCTGTAAGGGAACAGCTACAGAGAGGGCCAGAGAAAAATTCCTAATTGGTGTTTTCCTATGCCATTTCCTGAGTTCGTGACTGTGGACGAGTTACCTCTCCAAATCTCATTGTCCTCTTCTGTGATATGCTGGTAGCAAGGATGACCGCAAAGGCTTGTGGTCAAGATTAAATAACATAAGGAAGTGCTGCTAGGTCAGCAAGTACTCAACTGCTTAAGATCTTGAATTCTTCTGCATTCTTTCTAGTTTCCTTTCAATTCGATCAAAGGGTCCACCATACTACGGAGCTAGAGAATCCTACATGTGTTTCTGATAACCATTAGACCGACAAATACAAGCGAAGACATAAAACTCTAATGGTTCTAGTCCCAATTCTGGTTGTAAACTCCAGAGTTAGATTGTAAACTCCCTGAGAACAAGGAAAAGTATTTTCTCCTTTGTGTCTCCCTCAGCTCTCTCAAATGTTTGTTGAATTATTCAGTGTGGCCAGGAATAAAAAACATTCCCTTGAGATTTTCCCTCAAAGCCAGAAAAGTCCATCCTGTTTTTAACTCAGGGAGGAGACTGAAAGTAAAATTACAGTCCTAAACAAGAAGCCATCTGTCTTCCTTCTTTATAGTCAAGGAAAGGGGAGTTGTTTCTCTTAGCAGAGTCAATATGGGAGCATTTCTCAGATTAGAAAAATCTTTTTGGCTAGTGCTGTTGTTCCGTGTAGTAGCTACTGCTTATTCTGTAATTGGGACTGTAGAAGGAGATAAGTGCGTAACAGACTGTGGCAGTGCTTCATAAAATGTATTTTACTTTTTTAGAGATCTCTTTTCTAGACATATCTAATGGGTGAATATAATTGAAAGCAAGCACAGTCCATTGTGCTTGACTGATCTGAACTCTGATTTTCCCTTTAAGGGTTAATAGAACTAAGAGTTCTAAGATTCTCTAAGGTGCTTTGTAAATACACCACTTATGTATGTATGCACCATATATGCATATGAATGTGATGTTTCAAAATTATACCTCGTCATTAGCATGAGGGAAACTAACAGCTCGTGCATTGGATATGCTGTACCTTCTAAGAATGAGTCTCTTTCCCATCCCCCTGATGCCCAAAAAAAACCTCGTGAAAAGAGTGATTTAGAGAGGCAAATTACTATTCCTTTTCACTCTTATAAACAAGTACACACAACATTCAATGAAATTAAACCACAGCAAACTCAGAAATCACAAAAGGGATTTCTTTTTTTCTTAAGCCAGTGATCAGGGTACTTGTCTACCATGGTGAGATGTTACCAGGGCAAGCCCCTTCAGAAGGGCTTAGGTTGTTTTTCTTTGTCTTTTGGGAGAAAGGAGGTTTTTAAAAACTTATGTAAAAACCATCTGCGCTAACCAGGATAAAATTATAAGGTCTATCAATCTTGGTGCTGCAGGGTAAAATCGGATCACCAGCTGAGCCAGCCAGAAATGCTTCCCAATGGTCTGGTATTGCGTAATTGGCTGTGTGAATTCCAAGGGTGCCAGCTTCAGATAGAGGACTTGGTGCTGGTCACTCACTGAGGGAAAACGTTGAATTAATGGTCTTTCCAATGATTTTAATAAAGCCTGACTTGTTGTTCACATGATTTCAGGTTTTGGGGTAACAGAAATACAAATGCATCTCTACATGTATATGTCTATAACTGCTGAGAAGTCCTCTTAATTTAAAAACCGTGGCATTTGGTGCTTTGGCTGTGTTATTTACATTTTAGCACATACTGTGCTCACAGCCACATCCCACAAGAGCATATTTGCTTCAGCAGAGCCCCAGCTTCCAGATTTGCCTCACAACCTCTTCCTCCTGAGCATTCATATATCACCCCTGGGAGATGCTCCAAAAGCAAAAACTAATTGTAACCAAAGGCTGTAACTGTTCATTCATTGCCAGAGAGGCAAGAGCAGGTCTCTGTTTGAAAAGTTAGAAATGTATCTCAGCCTCCCAGTTAAACCAGAAGTTAGGAATCCACTTTACCTTAAGAGAGCTTTCCCAAACTCAGACATGCAACAGAAAAAGACAACATTGTATTCAGCAAGACTGGCAGTTCTTAAGTCCTTAGCTCTGCAACTTAGTTTCAGCTCACACTTGTAAGTTGATGTTCCTCCAATATTTGTTAATAACTCTGGCTTTTATTTGTGGTTTCACTTGGATTTTTGTTGCAAGATCAAACAATGTATGAATTCTCTTTAAAATGCTTGTTATGAACTTGTGTTTAGAGGGGTGTATCTTCCTCTTACTACTTTTCTGAATGACTTTTTTAAACATTGTAGTCATTCGATTCATTTAATAATTTTTGTGTTGACTGCTTTCTATGAGCTAAGCATGTTTGATTTTGATTAAGTAGCTTGTGCTCAAGCATCAGTCCTCAGGGATCTCAGCTGTTTCCAACATAAAATTAGTGTTGGTTTTTCATTTTGGGATAGTGAGATGAGGAAGGAGAGAAAACGGAACCAGGGTTATAAGTATTAATTTGAGAAGGAGAGAAGAAATTTGTAAAGTAGAGAAATCTATTTATTTAACAGTACATATCTTGAGCCATTATAATGAACCAAATACCTAGCTGGGTGCCTGGGATTCGAAGACAAATACACTCCTTGCCTTTAGATCATTCTTAAGGGGTGGAAAGATATTTAAACCAAGAACAGAGTATAGTTTAAATGCAATGAAAGGGAAAAGTCCACATGCTATATAAGCTTAAAGGAGGTCCACAAAGATTGATTTTTTTTTTTTAATTTAAAAAATGCTGTTCCATTTTTTCCCTGTTAACCATTTCTTACCTCCACTTAGACAAGTTCCCACGGTGTACCAAAAGCCTAGAAAACAGCTTGGTATCCAGGAATGTTACATAAATATTTATTCAATGAATGAATGAATTTTGTCAGTGAGTCCCTAGGAATTTAGATTTATAAATGCCTAGAATGTCTCAAAGGAAAGCTTATATTAAATATCAGATTACTACTTTTTAAAATACTTCTTGTTATTGTTGTTTGTTATTGTTTACTGTAAAACTTCTGGTATAAAATAGGTTTATTTTTCTGGCTGGGCACAGTGGCTCATACCTGTAATCCCAGCACTTTGGGAGGCTGAAGTAGGCAAATCACTTGAGCTCATGAGTTCGAGACCATCCTAGGCAAAATGGCGAAACCCGGTCTTTACAAAATGTACAAAAATTAGCCGAGCGTCGTGGTGTGCCTCTGTAGCCCCAGCTACTCAGGATGCTGAGATGGGAAGATGACTTGAGCCTGGGAGGCAGATGTTGCATTGAGCCAAGATGGCACCACTGCACTCCAGCCTAGGTGATAGAGCCAAACTTTGTCAAAAATAAATAAAAATAATAATAATGACTTTTCTAATATTGGAAGTATAAAAGACTTTTCTTTGGATAACACTAGCCTAATACCATAGTAAAAGACCTATAGGATTAACTACATAAATATTTTAAAACTCCTACATGCAAAAGATACTACAAAATAAATACAAATGGCAGAGATAAATAATACTTGCAAAGTCTATATAAAGGTTTACATAATACACAAGAAGCTCCTATTTAAAACCAAAAGAAAAAAGAAAAGAAAAACCCCACTCCACAGAAAAATGAGTAAAGGATGTAACAGACAAAATCCACAGTGAAAGAAATACAAGAACTAATAAAACACGAAATGTTGCTCAGCCTTACTAATAATAAAACTGTAAGTTTAAAAATTAGGAGACATCATTCCTCACCTAGCAAA